CCTTTCGTTTGAGTTTGTCTGACCTATGTTGTCCGACCAATGCCCTATATAATATTGAGTTGAGTGGTGAACTGGAAAAAAATCACGTGACATTTTTTCAACAACTAAGTGACGTGACACAAAGAGTCGACGACTAAGCTCGATCCTAAGTTCCATACCCTCCACGTTGAAGTCTCCGACTAGTATAAAGACTTCATGCTTCCAAGTGTTTAATATTGCCCGTCGCAATTAACATTGACATTATTCTATTGGTAAACATTTTGTTCACCTTACGTCCATGAGTCTCCCTATCGTGATCACGGATGGCGAAAAGGTTAAAGGCCCTAAGAAGCTACGCACCATAAAATTGACATCGCTAATTATTGGTGGCCATTTCACTACCTTATCGGAGTTCTCACCGTCTGGTCGAATGACGGAATGCACCGTAGCCTCTAAACACAAACAACAAACAAAAAACATTTATTAACACGAAGAACGACTACCACTGAACTAACAACTCGACGTCCTCATGGCCACCCCACATTCCATCACGCATCACATGCGCATGTTTGCACTACTTCACGCCAGCCCTAAAGCATTCGTACACGCCCCGCCAGTCCGTTGTCAACTCTCTGTGCACCCTGTAGGCTCGCGCTTTTGCGAGGAGGCTGTAGGATGTGCACCTATATTACGGAGCACGTGTAGTTATCGGGTATCTATGTGCGTGATTTCCACATGTTCGAAGACTTTGCGTACACCAAAATGCACATTTCGTGGAGGGCGAACACTTAAAGGTATTGTCAATTGGTTCATAGAGTATTCCACACACACAGTGAAGATTTTCACTGCGTGTGCAGAACAAGTTATTAACTTTTTAGGGCACCATACATAACCAACTGATGGAAAGCAATGCGCTGACCCTGCTTGTATGTACGGGAAGGCAACTTACTATTCTCTCTCTCTCTCTCTCTCTCTCTCTCTATATATATATATATATATATATATATATATATATATATATATATATATATATATATATATATATATATATATATATACTGAAGAAGTTTTTCCAATGGGCCAAACGTACTTGGGAAGAGAACAAACGCAACATAGCGGTTGTCTTAATTTTATAACCAACGGTTCGACCGGTGGAACGTTCTTCGTCAGGATTTGACGTGTTCGATTTGACGCGTTCGATGCATCAAACGCGTTTTTCGAACGCGTTATTCGAAGGTCGTAGGTTCAATTCCCGCTCACGGCTGATTAATTTTTCACCCACTTTTCTTCTTATTTACATTCCATTGGTTCTAATAACTTCCCCTGTACATTCCTTGGCATTACTGTCTGTTAGATCTCATTATATTGTGTCAAAACACGGAGAAACGAGCCCTTAGGTATACACTTCTTTCCCTTATATATATATTTATATATATAAAAAAAATCCGCGTGTTGAGATGCGGCGATGGCGTAGTGGTTAGAGCATCCGCCTCGCATGCAAGAGGTCCGTGGTTCAAATCCCGGTACCGCGCAGTTTCCAACCGGATTAAAAAAAAAATCCGCGTGTTGATGGAACTGCATTAAGAGGCCTGGGGTGCGGCCTCACCGGCAAACACCGCCGAGAACGCACTCCCTCACCAGAGAAGGATTGGCCACCCTGGTGCAGTATCTGGCCACTACCTCCCACATGCTTACGTCAAATAACTCACGGCCCTCAGTCCCCAGCAGCTGCGAAGCAACTGACCACGGCGGCGGTCAGATCTGCAACGCAGCAGAGGGTGCTAAGAATCTCTGAATCCGGACAGGCCGCCATTGGAACCTGAACTTGGCAACGTTTAACGCTAGAACCTTATCTAGTGAGGGAAGTCTAGCTGTACTATTCGAGGAGCTAGAGAGTGTTAAATGGGATATAATAGGGCTCAGTGAGGTTAGGAGGACAGATGAGGCCTATACGGTGCTACAGAATGGGCACGTCCTTTGCTACAGGGGCTTGGCAGACAGAAGAGAACTGGGAGTGGGGTTCCTAATTCACAGAAACATAGCTGGCAACATAGAGGAATACTATATCATTAATGAAAGGGTGGTAGGTATCGTAATTAAACTGAATAAAAGATACAAGATGAAGGTTGTACAGGCTTACGCGCCTACATCCAGCCATGATGACGCTTCAGTTGAAAGCTTCTATGAAGACGTGGAATCGGCAATGAGTAAGGTAAAAACACAGTATACTATAGTGATGGGCGACTTTAATGCAAAGGTAGGGAAGAAGCAGGCTGGAGACCAGGCAGTAGGAGATTATGGCATCTGTACTAGAAACGCCAGAGGAGAGCTACTAGTAGAATTCGCAGAACGCAATAATTTACGGATTTTGAATACCTTCTACCGAAAACGAGAAAACCGCAAGTGGACATGGAGGAGCCCTAATGGCGAAAATAAGAACGAAATAGACTTTATAATGAGTGCACACCCTGGAATCGTGCAGGATGTGGAAGTGATTGGCAAGGTACGATGCAGTGACCATAGATTGGTACGGTCTCGAATTCGCCTAGACTTGAAGAAGGAACGACAGAAACTGATACGCAAGAAGCCAATCAATTAGCTAGCACTGAGAGGGAAAGTACAGGAATTCAGAGTGTCGCTGCAGAACAGGTACTCGGCTCATAGTGAGGAAACCAACCTTAGCGTAGATACAATGAATGATAATCAGACGAGTATCATTACGGAGTGTGCAGTGGAAGTTGGAGGCAGGGTAGTAAGACACGACACTGGCAAGCTTTCCCAGGAAACGAAGAACCTAATTAAGAAGCGTCAAATCATGAAAGTGTCAAGTACAATAGACAAAATAGAACTGGCAGAGCTTTCGAAGTTGATTAACAGACGTAAGGTATGCGATGTGAGAAGGTATAACATGGAGAGAATTGAACACGCTCTGAAAAACGGAGGAAGTGTCAAAGCATTGAAGAGGAAACTTGGGATAGGCAAAAGTCGGATGTATCCACTAAGGGACAAAGAAGGCAAAATAACTACCAATATGGATAGGATAGTTAAAATAGCGGAGGAGTTTTACAGAGATCTGTACAGTAGCCGAGACAACCACGACCTTCATACTATAAGAACTAGCAGTAACCCAGATTACACCCCACCAGTAATGATAGAAGAAGTCAGAAAAGCTTTGGAGAGCATGCAAAGAGGCAAAGCTGCTGGTGAGGATCAGGTAACATCAGATCTGCTCAAAGATGGAGGACAGATTGTGTTAGAAAAACTAGCCACCCTGTTTACGAGGTGTCTCCTGACGGGAAGAGTACCAGAGTCTTGGAAGAACGCTAACATCATCTTATTACATAAGAAAGGAGATGACAAGAACTTGAAGAATTACAGGCCAATCAGCTTGCTCTCTGTAGTATACAAGCTATTTCCAAAGGTAATTGCTAACAGAGTAAAGAAAACATTAGAATTCAATCAACCAAAGGAACAAGCAGGATTTCGAACAGGCTACTCAACAATTGACCACATTCATACTATCAATCAGGTAATAGAGAAATGCTCAGAGTATAACCAACCACTATACATAGCCTTCATAGATTACGAGAAGGCGTTTGATTCAGTAGAAATATCAGCCGTCATGCAAACACTGCGGAATCAGGGCGTAGATGAAGTATATATAAACATTCTGGAAGAAATCTACAGGGGATCAACTGCAACCATAGTGCTTCATAAAGAAAGCAACAGAATACCAATCAAGAAGGGTGTAAGGCAGGGGGACACAATTTCCCCAATGCTATTTACCGCGTGCTTACAGGAGGTTTTCAGAAGCCTAGAATGGGAACAGTTAGGGATAAGAGTCAATGGAGAATACCTTAGTAACCTGCGCTTCGCCGATGACATTGCATTGCTGAGTAACTCAGGGGACGAATTGCAACTCATGATTACGGAGTTAGACAAGGAGAGCAGAAAGGTGGGTCTTAAAATTAATCTGCAGGAAACGAAAGTAATGTACAACAACCTCGGCAAGGAGCAGCGCTTCGAGATAGGTAATAGTGCACTTGAAGTTGTAAAAGACTATGTCTACTTAGGGCAGGTAATAACCGCAGAGCCGAACCACGAGATTGAAGTAACTAGAAGAATAAGAATGGGGTGGAGCACATTCGGCAAGCACTCTCAAATTATGACAGGTAGATTGCCACTATCCCTCAAGAGGAAAGTATATAACAGCTGTATCTTGCCGGTACTTAGCTACGGAGCAGAAACCTGGAGACTTACAAAGAGGGTTCAGCTTAAATTGAGGACGACGCAGCGAGCAATGGAAAGAAAAATGGTAGGTGTAACCTTAAGAGACAAGAAGAGAGCAGAATGGATTAGGGAACAAACGGGGGTTAAGGATATCATAGCTGAAATCAAGAAGAAGAAATGGACATGGGCAGGGCATGTAGCGCGTAGACAGGATAACCGCTGGTCATTAAGGGTAACTGACTGGATTCCCAGAGAAGGGAAGCGGGTTAGGGGAAGACAGAAGATTAGGTGGGCAGATGAGATTAAGAAGTTTGCGGGTATAAATTGGCAGCAGCAAGCACAGGACCGGGTTAACTGGCGGAACATGGGAGAGGCCTTTGTCCTGCAGTGGACGTAGTCAGGCTAATGATGATGATGATATATATATAATATTTACGATAATACGAACATGATGTCATGAAGGTGTCATTGTTGTTTCAATAACAAGGTATACGAGAACGCTTACGTTATCATGATAAACGCATGAGGCTATGAAATACCTGTCATAAACTGATTCGCATGACATGCCCTAGATAGCATAACATGTATGCAATTACGTTCACTTCTTTATCTGGTATTACTCAATGTGCATAACGAGACATCAACCACGTGGCGTAAGTGTCCACGACACGTGGTGCATTTGCTCCCACACTCGTTCGTTTCTGACAGCATCGACAAAACGCTGGTCGACAATGACTTCGTAGTGAATGCGCGAAATGATGACTTCGCGCGTATGAGGGTGAACGGCTTACGTGATCCGGCCCCGGCTCCTTGTACTCCGGTTCTATGTCTCCGAGCCCTAGAGCCTCCCTCCTCTGCTTGATGGTGAGCTTGAGGCAGTTCTTGATGAGCACCGACCTCTCCCGCGGGATGCACAGCAAGGTCTCGTCCTCCATGTACCGGGGCGTCGCCTGCAATGCATATGCGCTGACTACGTTAAAATTAAAGCCTTACATGACTCATCTAACGTGAAACTTCAATGGTGTCGGCGTCGAAGTGTATTGCAAAAAAAAAAAACTCACTACGTGCTGACGTTATGATATGGCGGCCTTGTGAAGTCACACATCAGAAAAAATTGTGAGGTCTTCATGACGTCACGATGAAATCGCACTACATGACGTCACATCACATTGTCGCTCATCCAGATATGGGCCCATCACGAATGCAGTGCAAAATCAGTGAGTTGCAGTGCTCTAATCTTGGAGGTCTTGCACGACCATGCTAGAAGCAGAAAGCTTTCAGAAGTGGGCGAGGAAGGATGAATACAGCGGCTGAACGCAGAAAGAATTAGGATATGGCTTTTGCCAATGAGTCGTACTTCTTAGTCCACTTTAGCCAAGCCTATTCAAACCGGTAATCCTAACTGGTGTTCATTTACACTAACCATTTAAGCCCAGATAAAGTGCGTGCGATATAACTAAGCCCGACCGACACGCTTCATGATAAGCAACCTGTTGCGCAAAATGTTTTAAACACCCGACGAAACACAAACGGGCGCAGACTTCCAACCGAGTTCAATATCGAAACGAGGCATATGTATGAAAAGTATGACAGCCTAAAACACCAATGCCTTAGGTGCATACTACGAGAGCACACATCAGCTACTTCCTCCCCCAGGGTGTAGTGCTCTATCATGGAAGGTCATTTTCCTTTCTGTCACTGAAATTAACGTCATGCTCACGCAGTTGTCGCCCTCCTATTGTTTCTTCTGCTGTCTAAAAAAATTGCGCTAGTGGGCTATATAGGAGGACCAACTACCTTGAACTCGTAATTGTTAAGAGATACCCCACTTTTTTGTGACCTAATAATGCTAATTGTGTCAGATCATGCAAACTCAACCTAATTTAAATTGAGCCAAGGTGGGACTGGCTTAGTGAATACAGCTACACTGTGACTAAACCTACAGCTTTTAGCAAAACCTGCCCAGAATTCTTTTTTATAATTTATCGCCCTTCAATTTGCGCACAGTATGAGCCATGAGACCTACCCAAGAGGCGTCGCAGGGCGCCCAGGCTGCCTGGCTGTGCGTCTCGTCCTCCTCCTGGGGTCGCCATTGTGCTCCGTTCGGTGCGAGCGCCAACATGGCGTCCCGGTGCAGTGGTTCCTGCCGTGAACCGTACATTGTGCGACCTTTGGCGGCGGTAGAAGACGGCGGCGCAGTGCCCGCACTGCTGCAGTGAGCCGGCCGATGCCAGGGCCACGCCGATTGGGCCCCGGAGAGGCTGTGTTTGTGGCTCTGTGAAGAATGGGAACGCATGCATAAGGGCGCCTATTTACAAGCGGAAAATAAACTTTCATGGACCATTCTACTCCGAGAATGCAAATGAATTGGAATGGCACCTTTTAATAATATGCCGAATAAATAATTGTGTACATTATATGTGACAAATGCTTTCTTTAAAAAATGTATTTACCAAAACAATTCACGTACATAGGAATGCACTCCTCAACTGTTGTAAATAGTTACGAGGTGATCACAAGTATAACGTTTTTATTCCTCTTTGGCACACTAATGTTTCTTCAGACACCCCTCTGCTAATGACTACGCCGCGAGTCGAACTCCATTCCCTCTCAATCGCCGTTTAGGGCGGAGCCACCTGGCTGAGCTATCAGGGCCTCCGGTCCCGTCCAGTCTCTACCGCCTTTGGACAAAAGTACAGTTCTCACTCACTCACTCACTCACTCACTCACTCACTCACTCACTCACTTACTCACTCAATCGCCAGAACAGAGGATGCGTTATCCCTCCAGACTGCACTGAATGATGATATTTTGAGCACCTGATAAGTCATTTTTGTTTGATCACGTATTTTTATTAGCTTGAGGTATACGTGTGCACCATTTAAACTACATTATCTATAAAAATTACCTACTGCATCTGTAATGTCTTCATGCACCGTGAGGACGCTGAGAGCTAAACAGCTTGCTATTCGCCGAAGTGTAGAAAAAGGTTTGTAATCTTGTCTTCTTTGGGTAATTTTGTCAGGATCGTTTATGTCTAATGTATGTTCACCAGCCATTCATTAGTGTTCAAATTTGACTGAATGATTTATCTGTGGAGTTTAACGCCCCAAAAACACCATATGATTATGAGAGACGCCATAGTGGAGGGCGCCGGTAATTTCGACCACCTGGGGTTCTTTAACGTGCACCCAAATTCGAGCACACGGGCCTCACAATTTTCGCCTGTATTGAAGACGCAGCCGCCGCAGCCGGGATTCGATCCCGCGATTGGCGGGTCAGCAGCCGGCTACCTTAACCTCTAGACCACCGCGACGGGTTGTTCATTAGTGTTTTTAACGACTGTTATGTACTTGAGAATAGTAGAGGTGTACTCTGATTTGTATTTTTATTGTTCTTAGAATTATAGGTGCCCTAATTAGGCGCAGCAACTTCATACAATGTAAGCTGAGCTGTTGTGTAACATTCTATGATATTGTATCATCACTGTGTGACACGTTTGTGAAGTTCATGCCTAGACATGTGCCTGAACTACCTTAGGAAAGTTACGACCTTCTCAGCTTTGTTAAAACAACTAGAGCCAAATTTGCTCAGTATACAGTGTGTGCTGTTTACTGAGGGATATAGAATACCGTACCGACGTTTATTATCTAACGTCCGTGGTGACGTTCCCTCTGAGCATAAATAACCCTACAAGCGTCGCTGTAGCGGAAAACGTTTATAGAACCCGTCCCCTACCAACGTTTATATTCGTTAGTAGGGGTAGCAACGTTGTGGTAGTTAGGGTACGAACTTTAACAAACGATGGTAGTAGACGGTCCTGGCAAGCCCACTATGCGGACATAATAGCTACCACACATAGAAAGACACGCGCATGCACCCCATAACGCGTACCTTAAAATCAAGACAGGTAACATCGACGACTTACTCACTGACCGCTTCGAGCACTGTATTTAGTTGTGGATACTTCTCCCAATGGCACGTCCAGGTAATGTTCGCCTCTTTTTTGCTCTAGGCCCGCCACTGTGGCCGGCATATTTACTATAGAAGACCAGCTCCATCCGTAGCGTCAGTAACTACGTTGCGCACCTCAAAACTCCGCGTTATATGTTTTTTCCTTACACCGTGCAGCAAAATAGCGGCGTTCACCACACGTGACGTTTTTCAATCGCGAGAAACGCGGCACGCGTTTTTTTGCTTTAGTATCTAGCGTGCAAGATTAGAGAATACTCTGAAGTGAACAAAACAATTACGCCCGTTCGCCTCGTCCGGTTAGGTTTCTCAAGCCCCCATGTAGCAGTTCCCTCTATGAAACTGCGGCCGGCGCATGTAACAAAAGCGAACATTATCTGGACGCGCCCTCCATCACGGCGGGCGGAGAGTGTCCACACCAAAATTATTTTACAATAGCTTCCCGTGAAACTGTTTTTCACGAGACATGAGATCTGTCTTATTTTTTGTTATCCTTATTAGCTCACTTTAAACGAGATGGCCCGTTCGTCCTGTTTCCATTTCTCAGTGACTATCGAAGTTTTCATAAAACTATACGGTACTTCATTGACTTCTAAGCGTTGACCATTGTGGCCTGTTTCAATAAACTATAAATTCAACGGGCTTCAAAACGTTTCGTGTAGAAGTTTGGGCTTAGCCGATGAGTCAAGACAGACAATCGGTTGGAACGTCTTCTAAACAGCCACGTGGAATAAATATAAGCTTTTTGTTATAACCCTTTCTCTATCAAGCTTTTTTGGCCGGAAATGATTAAGAAATAGCATTTTTTATTTTCCTGTTTGATTTTTGTATTTTCGAACATCTAAACAATTATTCCAAGCTGCTTTATTTGAAAAAAAAAAACAGCCAACTTTTTTCTTTTTTGAAAGTGACGGCCAGACTAGAGGTGCAGCACGTGCGCATGTGCCGCTCCTCTAGTCCGCAATCTCTCCAGCTTTCGTGACATAGAATGTTTGAACTTGAGCAAGGAAAGCGTAGGAACGCAAGTTCATGAAAAGGAACCTTGGACGCAGCTGGGGTAGCGCCGCGGGTTGGTTTACATCTGGGGACGTTCACTGACGATACGGCTGGATGCGGTCTTCGTCCAAGTACAATTACTTAGGGTGACTATTCTGCTACGTGTATGTCACTGCCACACACACAGAAGAACGAACATTCTTCAGGGAGGGGTTTTTCTATTGAAATGAAGTGGTTCCGGCACACCGCTTACGTACAAAATAAGGGGCCAATTTTAAATGCCAAGCATTTCTAAGTGAACTTTGGCGACCTTGATCGTATCTATCTATCTATCTATCTATCTATCTATCTATCTATCTATCTATCTATCTATCTATCTATCTATCTATCTATCTATCTATCTATCTATCTATCTATCTATCTATCTATCTATCTGTCTACCTATCTATCTATCTATCTATCTATCTATCTATCTATCTATCTATCTATCTATCTATCTATCTATCTATCTATCTATCTATCTATCTATCTATCTATCTATCTATCTATCTATCTATCTATCTATCTATCTATCTAGCCGCTTACGTTTGGGGGCTCTCGTGGTCACTCCCCTAACTTAGCACGAATATGACGCGCTGGTCTAGACATGAATAATTTCATAATCCCGTCGCATGCGTCGTGAAACACTTCTCGTCAGACATTGGCACATACCCACGGTCCGGTTTGTGCCGCTGGTATGCGGGTATGTGCCACAGAAGATTGACACTTAGTATACACCCAGAAACGACGAGAATACACATGAGCAGCTTTAACGCGCGAGCATTAAGAAATACCCGACATCGATAGCACCCGTCCGCCCGATGAATGCAAAGAAAAAATGTAAGGGTTGCAGCTTGAATCAAACCCAAGCCTTCTGCGTGGCATAGAAGCATTTTACCACAGAGCTACGCCAGGTCTCGAAACTACTTTTCAACACGACGCCAATTTTTGTGAAACATGAATAGTGTGGCAGTGCTGCCTACCCAATTTTGTAAACATTACATATGTACTCCTTTGATACAGCCGTCGCGTCGGGTTAACGTCAATTGTGCTTAGTTGCAATCTGCTGAATTTGATTATTGTAGAAGTTTCCAGTGCAGCATCTTCGCGAGCATCAGCGATTGAGGGAAGGGTTTTGCTATCGGAATGGAGCGGTTCCGGTACACCACGCACGCACAAAACAAAGCGCTAGTTTTTCTGTCTATAATAAAGCGCTGCTCACTGTCTCTTTCTTTTTCCTTTCCTTTCCTCTGCTTGTAGCACTGTTTTTGTGCAAGCCATTCTTCAAATCTTTTTGCGTGTATGAAGTTTTTTGTGTACTAAAATGCAATTTTCGATAACACTTGCATAATAATTATTATCTTGGTGTGCTATTTGTTGAAGTCAATGACAACCGAGCAAAATTCTTTAGGACAGCTTAAAACTGCGGAGCCCCGAAGTGCTAAGAAGTTACCGATTTTCGATCCCCTCAGGTAGATTGCGCTGATTTCCACTCTAATCGTGTTGTACTAACATGCCGAATCATATAGTCTCCCAAATTATAGTTTAATACTGGTCTAGTTCAGCCTCTACTTAGTAGTTAAGAGGTTAATCAAGTCCCTTCAACAACTTCAAGCAGCGGTGAATATCGTTCGAATACAGCACCAAACTAAGCGTGGTTAAGAAGCTTCGACCGGGCAGAAGCGAGCCTCCAGCCGCCCTTCTCGTACCGTGCGGTCGCGTCCCTCGGAGCACGCCCGTATCTCGCGTCTTGACGACTCGCCGGTGGCAGGCCCGATGCGGGGGCACCTCGCTCACGCGGGAACCCCCCGCCGGGGGCCAAGGCGAGTCTCGATGGGCAAGAAAGCGTACACACACTCGGCAGGGAGCGATCGCGTTGTCTTGTATGCGTCCGTCCGTCCGTCGTCTCACCAGAGTCCACCTCAGCGGGCATCTTGTCGTGGAGGAGGTGTACCGTACGTGCGGGTTGCGTTTTCTGATCATTTCGCACGCCAGGACTTCGACTCCTGCTGGTGCGCGTTCGACTTTTTAAACTTGCGCAACAAATGACGTAACTCTTGTTCTGTGCCCAAGAGAGCGCGAAGCGATATGTCTATGTTGATTGAATGCACGTGGTGTTCGACGCCACGTGACACTCTGGCTGAATCAGCAAGCTGAAACACTTCGCTGTCCAATGTCCATGGAGAGTTGTCCTGATTTCAATTAGCGTAATCATAATTATCATCATCATAAGTGTTGTTACTCACACAGGAGAAGAAATAGCATCTG